GTGGTGCTATGGTTCCGATGGACTGTGTCTTCATCGACGTCGTGGTTCCCCTACCCTTGTCAGCCAAGCATCCCTACCGGTTTGTATTAAGCTGTATGGATGCAGCTAGTCGACATATCTGGTTTTTTGCTATTAGCTCCAGCACTTCTCAGTCTCTCATCGATACCCTCGAGAGTAGACTAATTTATCCTTATGGTTGCATGCGTAGCTTGCGTATGGATAATGCTTCATCATTCAGATCAACAACCTTCCGTGGATGGTGCTATTCTAGGGGTATCGTCCCAACCTATGTACCGTCATTTGCCCCCCATCGCAATTCTCTGTTGGAACGACAGCATGGTGTCCTGAAGAAGGTGCTTAAGGTTCTCTGCGCTGGCGACACTGACCTGTGGCCCCAATTCCTACCTGTTGCGATGGCTCGATGCAACTCTCGGTGCTTAGGCGACACTTCTACTACCCCTTTCGAATTGTTCTACGGTCGCGCTTGTTGCTCTCCGTGGAGCGATAGGTTCTGTGACCTCCGCCCGGGTATCTCTGATGACTCCGTCAAGTTCGAGGCTGACCGGCGTTTGAGGCGAAGGAATGCCCAACTCAAAGATATCATAGCTCTTCTAGACAAGGCCGAAGCTGATAGCTTCCTCCGAACCCCTACTACTAACCCCATCAACAATCGTCGTCAGTTCAAGAAAGGTGATTTTGTACTCAGATGGCGCGAGGCGGCTCACTCCCTTGACTCCTCGTGGTATGGTCCTTTCACCGTCGATGAAGTGCTGGGCAATTACACTTATAAGCTCAATGATGGCAGCGTCCACGATAGTAAGAACCTTTGTATATTCCATCCCGTCCATCATTGAGGGAGGGCGGTATGTGGAGATTATGGAAAGCCCGACTGTGGCGTGCGCTACTATGAGCGCATCTTGGCCTCGGGGCCGAGTGTCCGCACAATCCGGGTCGAGTGTCCGCACCCGCGGAAGGTGTGCTTAAAACCTTGGAGTAGGCGGGCCTCCGGCCCGCCGTTACCCAAAGATCCTTCGGGCTTCCACGTAGCATCCCACTGATGCCGATAAGAGCCACTGGTACGAACTACTAGACGCGCGCGCTATTTTCGTGCAAGTTGCATGAAATCACACTGTGGTGGCTGAAACTGCCGTCACTGACGACCCGTGAACTGCGGATGCTATCCTCAACATGGAGTAATCGGTGTCCTTCATGGTTATTCTCAAGTGTGATGAATGACATCGTGTTCATTTCTAATCGTGCAGAGTAAGACTTACTCAGTAAGTTCGAAAGGAAAATTCCATTTTTTACAATTTA